CCGGGCGGCGGCGCGGCGCTGCCTGCTGGCTGCTGGCGTGGGCACGGGCCACGTCTGCGTCTCTAATAAGCTGCTGTCGGCGAGGCGGTTTAGCTCTTAAGTAAAAAATGGCCAGTTTTGTTCCTGGAGACAAAAGCGAACATCAGATGTGTCTGACTGGTCCCAGTCAGTCGCAGAGATCTGGAAACATTTCCGGAGGGCGGCGGCAGGCGGCTCCTGTGCTGGACGACTTCAGCACTCACTGTTACGGGAAGGGCGACCTGAGGGCACTGGGGGAGTCCTGTGGACCCCGCCCCTGCTCCGGCTTCCTGGACGCCGCCCCCTGCTCCAGGGACTGGAAACTACAACTCCCAGCAGCACCCGGGAGAGAGCTGCGAGGACCCCGGGGCGGAGCCAGCAGGAATTCTGGGACATTGGGGGGATACATAGGGGCCATTTTGTTAAGGGCAAGGACGTCCTGAAGGAACTCTGGGGAGTCCTGTGGACCCCACCCCCTGCTCCGGCTTCCTGGACCCCACTCCCTGCTCCAGGGACTGGAAACTACAACTCCCAGCAGCACCCGGGAGAGAGCTGCGAGGACCCTGGGGCGGAGCCAGCAGGAATTCTGGGACATTGGGGGGGGGGATACATAGGGCCATTTTGTTAAGGGCAAGGACGTCCTGAAGGAACTCTGGGGAGTCTTATGGACCCCGCCCCCTGCTCCGGCTTCCTGGACTCCGCTCCCTGCTCCAGGGACTGGAAACTACAACTCCCAGCAGCACCCGGGAGAGAGCTGCGAGGACCCAGGGCGGAGCTAGCAGGAATGCTGGGACATTGGGGGGGATACATAGGGCCATTTTGCTAAGGAGAAGGACGTCCTGAAGGAACTCTGGGGAGTCCGGTGGACCCCGCCCCCTGCTCCGGCTTTCTGGACTCCACCCCCTGCTCCAGGGACTGGAAACTACAACTCCCAGCAGCACCCGGGAGAGAGCTGTGAGGACCCAGGGGCGGAGCTAGCAGGAATGCTGGGACATTTGGGGGGTACATAGGGGCCATTTTGTTAAGGGGAAGGACGTCCTGAAGGAACTATGGGGAGTCCTGTGGACCCCACCCCCTGCTCCAGCTTTCTGGACTCCACTCCTGCTCCAGTGATTGTAAACTACAACTCCCAGCAGCACCTGGGAGAGAGCTCAAGGACCCCAGGGTGGAGCCAGCAGGAATTCTGGGACATTGGGGGGTAAATAAGGCATCTCTCACTCTCTCTTGCTGGGGAAACGGCTCTCCTGACCGCCAGGTGTGTTCAGTCAGCCGAGCCCTAAGGTGTTCCAGTGACTCTGTGTCCCGCTCTCTCTCCCTGGGTTGTCCCTGTTCCTGTCCCCTTTTGTAAATAAACCCGTTACTGACCCTTCTGTGTGTCCCTGCAGTGTAACTGAGTTGTGAGCCTGGGCGAGGCCCACGGACAGGCGCCCAGTCCGCCCTGGCTGCCCTGGAACGAACACGACCAACTGTGACTTCTGACTCAGCATCAATGTGACGGTCTTCCCGCTGCTCTCGCACATTCTGACATCGCTAGCGCTTACCTGCTTGGAGAAATTTGGGTTGATGGCACCCCATACGCGGTGATAAAGGCAGTGAACACAGAAATGCCTTCACATGTACGTGAGGGGGTGTGTGAGCTTCCTGACGCTGGCCACTAACCTATGGATGCAGGGATGACTGATGGGACGCTGGGAGCCCAGTGCCTTCAGGCTTCTCTTGAGTAAACCTACTTTAAATGAGCTGATTCGAATCCATGTTTCAGTAAAACTACAACTTCTCACTGTTGCCAAAACTAAGTAACAGCGACAGTTAGAAAACAACGCCCCACACCGTTTCCAGATGTTTTCTGGGCTTCGGCTTATGTCCCGTTATTCGCAGACAACTGGTTTTCCAACTGGAGTTAGTGGTGTCTATTGAGTTTCATTTCGTAAAACACAACTTTAGCTACTTAACCGAGCAGCTACAGACACAAACCTAAGTGTCCCGGGAAGGGCGGCCTTCGGTGGCCCACCGGCCCAGCAGCGACAGGACAGGGGCCGTGAAGAGCGGCGGCGGCCTCGGGGTCTCCCTCTGCGCGGGGAGCTGCCGCCTCTCGGTGGTGAGACCGCCGTTCACATTTGCTTGTGTTGCAGATTTAACCCGTGTTTGCTTGGACTAAGACGCACCCCCACATCTGTGCAGCCCAACAAGCCCCTTCGCAAGCTACAGCCTGCAGCTCATCTGCCCGGGGCCGACTGTCCACTTGTATTAGCAACAGGCAAATCAGGCCCATCTCAGAGCGGCCTTGGGGCTGAGGAGGGCCCAGCCGGGGGCGCCCCGCCCTGCGGGGAGGGAGGGAGGGGGGCCTCAGGGCTCCCCTCCAAGCTGCCGCCTGCCACCTGGGTGGGCTGGGCACTTTTTAAAACGCCAAGACTCGAACTTCCGACGTGTAAGAGGAAGCTGAACGCACGGCTGCCTCAAAATGTTCATTCTGACTCTTCTGGCCATCAAACAGCACCGTTCTTTGCGGGGTCTGCGGGGAGCACCGCTCCGTGCCTTCGGGTCACAGCCCAACATCCTCTGGGAGGCGGACTGTGGCCTCGCAGGGAGCTGAGAGCCGCCCCACACCCCGCCCGCACTTCGGGCGCCCCGGGGCCGCG